AGCTGCCAAGCCCCAAGCCTCTGCAAGCCCTCGTCCACTACCAACCCTACCCACCAAAGCCCAGCCTCACCGGCCTTCTTTCCTCCCTGCATTTGCACGCCCCCCTCAATACCCCCAGCACTGGAAGCCTGCCTTCTCTTCATCGGAACCTCAGTTCAAAGGGCATCATCCCCCCGACAACCACCTGTAGGGTAAATAAAAAGTATCAGGCTTTTCTGCCCTCCCGCCATTAGGATTGATGATGGAACCTTGCAGTCCTGAATGCTTGCCTGATGGCAGCACCTGGAGTGGGGTGTGGGCATGTGTAAGTGGGTACACCTGGGCTGAGAGACTGAGCTTATAAGGGCAGTGTCACGGGGATGCCAGCAGTACCATGAGAAGAGAGTAGAACCACGAGAGAAGCAGAGAGAACACCGGAGAGCCCAGAAAGAGTGAAGACTTGCTGGGGGCTGGGAGGCCTGTCAGCCTCTCTGCCCCCGACCACCCCTGCCTGCCGTGTACCTGGTAAACCCCAATAAAAGCCTGAAAAGCCACTGAGGGTTCCAGGACTCCTTTATTCCGTCTGCTCGGATCATAGAGAACCTGCACTGTGCCCATTCCTGCCCCTACACCACCCCATTCAAAAAAATCACCTCGCCTCTCTCCAGGTTCTCCACACCTGCGGTGTCCAGTTCAGCTGTCAATAGCCACCTGGGACCATTCCACTTTAATGAATGGATTAATATTGAAAATTCAATATTAGCCACCCCCAGTCTTGCTGCTAGAAGAACTCCCCCGTGCTCCCCAGTTGTGAGAGACCCAGGTGAACAGCAGAAGTTATGTTTGCAAGTCAGGGAGAAGAATCACCTTGAGCTTGCAAAAGGGCAGAGACGGGGTGCTGTGGGGTGGAGGTGGGATTTCCCAGGACAGGATGAAGAACAGAAGCAGTGACTCGTGAGTCTGAGAATTTGCTTAAAATACCCCTCGAAGACCAGGGTTCTGGCCCTCATCTCTTATTTATCTCATGCTTTTGTCTGCCCCTTAAGTTTCCTAGTATTTGTTTTTTTAAGTCCACATTGATCTGATGAACGGAAGGGTAGAACTGATGTGTGCAATGGGCTACTCTGAGATCAGAGACACCTGGGTTCGAATCCCAGCTCTGTGGCCTTGGGCTGCTGGCCTCTTTGACCTTGGCATTCCCTTCTAGAAAGGGTGCAAGATCGGGCAGAGCCCTGGCCTGCTGCAGGGATTTTGTAATTACTAGTTTTCTTCCCTTCTTTGCTCATAATTTTGGGTCCAAAGAACCAGAAGAGTTGATAACCCTTGGACATAGGAGCTCTGCCAGTTGGAGAAACTGTGTGTTAGAATAGAAGCATAGAAAGGTCAAAAATCATGGCAAGAGAGAGCCAGAGGATGTAGAGAGATGAAAGTCAGAGAGAGAGTCAGGGTGATTGGCCGGGAGGGCAAACTTGCAAACATAACTTCTGGGAGGGCAGGTCCTGCCTGCTCTTGGTCTTCCCAGCCCAGGCCACATGCATTTCCCAGGTTAGAAACAGCTCCGTGCTTAACATCTCTGCCAGTCACTGCAGGAGACCCCGGTTTTTAATTATTCAAAATCTCCAGGGAACTGAGGAAACTGAGGACTCTGAGTTCCCTCCAGGGATGAGACTCAAGAATTCCCCCCAATGTAAGTGCTCTGTGCCAGTCTAAGCAGATTCTGGAAGCTTGCAAACCCCACTCTCCTCCCACCCCCCACCCTGGTCTGGACGCCAGGTGGCCCAGGCCCAGGGTCTGCTCAGGTTCTGAGCCTACTGGACTTGAGTTTTCTCAGCAATGTGGCTCCCCCTTTCCCCCCGCCCTTGGATTCTTACTTTCTGTTCTTGGGTTAATGGATTTTTTTTTTTTAAGTGAACTGATGAGGCCTCTATAAGTCTCCTATCCTTTGAAGTAGGAGGAAGGTATAAACAAAGCAAGAAAGGCCAGCTACCCTTAGGTGGGACATTCTTTCCTACTCAAAAAGGTGAAAAGGTAAGAGGAAAGGGAAAGGAGGTGGGCAAGGCAACCTGTCACCACTGACATGTTGGTAACAAACAGGGCTGGCCGCAGATCAGGAGAATGTGGCCAATGCCTAAGGGACAGAAGGCACTTCCTGCCAGTGGAGGGGGTGGGGGTAGAAGGTCTATAGAGAAGGACTGGCCTGGCTCATCAGTCTGTGTCAAATGTCAAGTGAAAGGACTCTGGGATCCAAGTCCAAATCAGAGGTCCAGGCCCCATCCAGTGGCCGCTGGGAACATTGCAGGAGTAAAGTGCCGGTGAGACAGGAAACAAGGTAATCCAGGCCACGCGCCAGGGAGGAGGGACGAGGCTGTCTCTCCCCTTTGCTTTCAGTGCCCCCCTCATCAGTAGAGGACTGCATTTCAGTCAGACGCCCAGGTTGCCGCCTGATCCCCCTGGGGTTTTCTGTGTTGTCTTGGGCAGGCAATTCTGTGCTCCGGGCCTGGCTCCCTGACTGTAAACAAAAGGGATGAACAGTGAGGCCACACTCCAGCTGCTGTGCTCATCTGACCCTTCATCCAGGAAAGATTTCAGTCATCGCATCACCCATGCTCCCTTCACTCCTGACCACACACCTTCAGGCTTCATTCACCTGTGAAATCCCCAGCAGGTATGGTTTAAGTTTGGGCCCAAAGGTCACCTCCTCCAGGAAGACTCCCTCCATACCTGCCCTTTACTCCATCCTCTCATCTGAAGGCTCCTCTTTCTGCTACAGTTATAGTAAGGTGCACCTCACCCCCACCCAAGTGCTCCCCACTCAGAGGCCTCACTCAAGCATGCCTCTTCCTCTTTACCAAATCTAGGTATAGGCATATTTGGTAAAGACATAGAAGTTCCTGGAAAAAGCTGCTCTGAGGTCACCTTGCCTGGCTTCAAGCTCTTTGTGATAAGCAGACTAATAATCCCCCTCCCCAGCAAAAAAAAAAAAATGTCCACACCCCAGACTCAGGAACTTATAGGGCAAAGGAATTTTGCTGATGGTTTAAGTTGAAGAGCTTGAGACAGGTGGTTTACCTGGGTCAACCCAATTAATCACAAGGGCCCTTATAAAACAGAGACCGGGGATTTGACACCTGAAACCGAATGACAAAGAAACAGCAGCCTCCGGAAGGCATGCTCATCTGACCCCTTTTAGACTTCTGACCCTTTTAGACTTCTGACCTCCACACCTATCAGTTAATAAATTTGTGTTATTTAGGCCACTAAACATGAGGTTTCTTTCTAGTAATATGACTTTGGGAAGCTTTTATTTAACCTTTCTGTGTCTCTGTTTCCTCCTGTGTGAAACAGGGATAGTAAGGCAAAAACAAACAAGGCTGTTGTATGGAAAAAATGAAAATATCCGCAAATCAATTACTGTCAAAGACTAAATATGTTAGCTATCATTATAAGAAAAAAATGAACAGCCAGGGCTCCCTGGTGGCTCAAGGGGTTAAGTCCCAGGGCTGCCACACTATTAGCAGCCTCTGCAGCATGAGTTCGATATCCAGCCAGGAAGGTGACCCACATGGCACAGCAGACCTCTCCTGTCTCTCCGCTGCTCCCCTCAGCAGTGTATTTCAGTCAGTTGATCTGTTCTGCTCCCCACTCTGTCTCTGGTGGATCCTCTCACCGCCCGCATCTCTAGCCTGTACCCCAGCTCTTGTATGCATCAATAAATAAATCTTTAGGAAAAAAGAACATCTAGTCCATTCATTAAGGGCCTACTATGCGCCTGGCACCATGTCAGATGCCTTAGAATAATTTCCTGGAGTCTCGCCATCACTGTTGAGTGAACAATTTCAATCCCCATTTTACAGATTAGGAAACAAACCGAGAGAAAATTGCCTAGGACTGCAGATCTTCCTAGGAGTGAAAGCATCTACATCTGCAGTTTTTACATGCACTTGGGAAATGGTACTGGTTTTAGTTCTTTACTGATAGTGAGGTGTGTGGTAAATGAAGATGCTCAGTCTTTCATGCTGCTGGCCTCTGTGGCCATCACTTGCGGCCTTGATTGTGCTAATGCAAAAGCATCTTGGGCGTGTGGGTGTGGGGTACGCATGCTTGATGGTGGACACCTGGAGCATGGTGTGGGCATGCGTAAGTGTGCGCACCTGAGCCTGGAGGCTGAGGCTATAAGAGCCAGTCGAAACGGGCAGCAGAGAGGAACGCCAGAGAAAGCCCAGAGCAAAGATCCTGCCAAGGGTTGGGAGGCCTGCCAGCCTCCTGGGCCCCCAGCCTCCCTGCCTTGCCAGCCTGCAGGCTTGCCCCACAATTGGTGTGGAAAGATCATTAAAGGCTGAAAAAGCCAGAGGGCTCCAAAACTCTCCTTTACCCTCTGCCTGAATGGATAGAGAACCTGCCCTGTGCTTGCCAGCTTGGCACTTCATGGGGTTTTTTGCCTGCGGGGATAAGAGGGGTAGGTTGTTTGTTTTTTGGAGAGGCGGCAGATGACGGGGCACAGGCTGAGCAGGCAGAGGCCGGGTCTGGCTCAGAGAACCCGACTGATATTTCTTCTTCTAGGTGCTGGAGGGAGATAAAATCCAGGTGAAACTCACCTATTCGCCCCCAGTTTGTCCATTTAGGGGTTCAACGACGGTCTCCTACGTCCTTGTCAACCCCTTTCCCGCCCAATTTTAGTGGCTTTTGTGCCAGGTTTGGAGGCACCATGAGGCAGGCAAAGAGTCCTGCCCGCTGAGGAATGGAGGGGCTCAGACTGGCTTGAACCCCAAGAGTTCCGGTGTAGCCCTGCCTTCCCGCGACCAGAATAAGGAGCCATCTGTTCTTGGCTGAATAAACAAGGAGGGAGAAGCAGCGCCGGGTCCCCAGCCCCCCAAACGCCCAGCCGGACCCCGGGACAAAGCGCCTTTCTCCGAGGAGACGCCGGGGCGCCGCTGAGCGCGCCGTCTGCTCTCCCCTGCCCCTGGCGGCTCAGGAACACCCACAAACCAGCCTCATGGAAACCAGAATATTTTTTTAAGGAAAAGAATCAAAACCGAAATTCAACAAAGAACTAAGCACAGCACGCGGCGAGGGCGTGCGGGCGCAGCGCCCCCGCTCCGCGCCCCCGCAGGCCGGCTCCAGGTCCCGGCGAGGCCGGCTCCGGCACAGCGCCGGGGGCCTCCAGCGCCTGCTCCCCGACAGCCCAAGCCCGAGGGGCCCGGCTTCTGCCAGGTCCCGGCGCCCCGACGGCGTCCGAGGGGGCACAGTCCACAGAAATGCACCCCAGCCCGGGTGCGGCCCCGCTGCGGCCCTCACTTCTGGGTGGCCAGCTGGTTCTCCAGATCCTCCAGGCGCGCGGTCAGCTGGGCCAGTGAGCGGTTAAGGAACCCGCTGGGGTTGGTGGGGATCCCTGCACCCCACCTCCAGTCTCCGGGCCCCAGTCCCAAAGGATATGGTTCTGCGTCAGGCTCTCGAGCGCCCCCAGCGTTCGGCCCTGGAATTCCACGAGGCTTTCGCATTCGCAGGGGCTGCGCAGCTCTGTGCCCGCGCTGATGCCCTCCTCTGCCAGGGAGCAAGAGAGCCAGGAGAGTGAGAACTTGCAGGAGGACCAGCCGGCCCGGGCCCACTCTCTCTGATCCCCCTCCACCGGACCTGTACCTGGGCATATGGACTTTGGAGTCAGACAGACGTGGGCCAAGGGGCAGCTCCTATCTGTGAGAATCTGGAAATCGCATTCAAGGGCTTCTAAGCCTGTTGCTCATGTGTAAGATGGATACAGACCACACTTGGAGAAGCACGTGTCCTCAGCAGCTCGCTCCAAATGAAACTTTATGCAGTGATGGGAATGAATGTCCCATATCTGCCCTGCCCGGGGCAACAGCTTCAAGTCACAAGTGGCTGTTTGATATTTGATATGCGACCAGTGCAACAGAAGAGCTAAAATTTTCAGTTTAGTGCATTGAAATGAAATGAGAACACGCAGCCAGTGGCTAGCTTATTGGAAAGTGCCACTTTCCAATCTACGGCACAGCCTGGCACAGATAACACTTTATAGTGTTTGAGAACCACTGATGTAGTTGAAAAAGTGTGGTCTCTGGGCCAGTGGCATTAGCATTCCTAGCAAGTAATTAGACATGCAAATTATCAGACACCACCGCAGACCTTCTGAATCAGAAACCCTGGGGCTGGAGCCCAACAAATAAATCTTACAGTCACTGAAATTCTGTAAACATGTACCATGTTTAGTATTACAGCATAGTGCCTAACACTTTGCTTTCAATAATGCCTCGCTGCTATGATTGAAAAGCTACATCTTAGGGCCTCCCTGGTGGTACAGGGATTAAAGTCTAAGTGCTATCAAGTTATCACCAGCCACTGCGGCAAGAGTTCCATCCCCGGCCAAGGAGCTAACCCACATGGCGCAACAGACCTCTCCTGTCTCCCCGCTGCTCCCCTCAGCAGTGTATTTCAGTCAGTCTGCCTGTTCTGCTCCCCATTCTGCCTCTGGTGAATCCTCTCATCTACTCCCTACAGCTCTGGCTTACACCCCAGTTCTTGTATGCATAAATAAATAAAAACTAATGTTTTAAAAAGAAAGGTTAGGGGCCTCCCCAGTGGTGCAGTGGTTAAGCGCTGGGCTGCGAAGTTGCCCACAGCCTCTGCAGTGCTGGTTCGATCCCCGGCTGCCGGCAAGGGTCCCACATGGCACACAGATCTCTCCTGCCGTGCCCCCTGCTCCCTTCAGTCTGCCTGTTCTGCTTCCCACTCTGGTTCTGGTGAATTCTCTCACCCTCCCGCGCTTCTGACTGTACCCAGTGCTTGTATAAATAAATAAATAAATCTTTTTTTTTTTTTTAAGTTACATCTTAGTTTTGTAATGGCAGCACACTGCGCCATCACTGGTATTGCTAACAGTCCTGCAAACACTCTTAACAGATGGGGAAACCAAGGACCAGAAAGGATCTGCCCAAGGTCACAGAGCCAATTGGAGAAGAAGCTCAGCCACAGATTTCTCTTAGCGTGCCAGAGTGGAGGGGGGTGAAGGAGATGGCAACCTGGGCAGCCAGTACCTCCCTGTTACAGAAGAGGAAAGTTCAGGAAGGGTAAGTGATGTATCCAAAGTCAGATTTCAGAGAACATAAGAGTCAGGATAGGAAGGACCCTTTAAAAGCTGCTAATCCAGTGCCTCCCCGATACCCTGGCTAATTATTAGAATTAGGGAGTGAGGGGGAGAGAGGGGGTACAGATTTATGTATAAATGTATACACAAACACAAATATGAGTATATGTGTATACAAAGTGGTAGATTCCTCAGGGCAGCCCTGCAGAACTTAGCTCTGGAGAGGCATGATGGTCTAAAAGAGAGTCACATCATAAGCCTGGGTTAAAAGTCTAAAGACAGTGGCAAAAATTATCCTCAGCAATTCCCTATGCTGCCTATGAACACGAGGACACAAGTTTCAGCAGCGCGTTTCACAGACAGACTGGATCTCTATTTCCCAGGAGAGCACCCTATAAAGTAAATGGATTGAATTTATGGGCTACATTGTTCAAAAAAAAAAAAATACAGATCTTTGTGTATTTGAAACATCTTCTACCCCGCCACTTGCCAGGTGTGTAAAGTTGAGTCCAACAAGTCCGACTCTACTTGCTTTGGCCTGCCTTTGAAAAATATCCCCAAATTATTCTGAATACCCACTAATTTCGGTGGCAGTTTGCTTAGTCTAGTGTGTCTTAAACCTAAACATAAATTCAGATGACCTAAGGATCGTTGTAAAAGTGGGAAATCTGATTCACTATGTCTGCAAAGCGCTGTCAATACTGCAGTTGGAACAAGCCCCCAAGTGACATGGGCCACACTTCGAGTAATTACTGCTGTCTAGTGGCTCCATCCGCTGGCCACGGGAAGGGAGACAGGAGTGTTTGAGCCACGAGAGAAGGGGCGGGGCTCCGAGGCAGATGTGCTCACCCGGGCAGATGCTGCCCCTGAGGTTCTCCAGCAGGTGTGTCATGGTGGTGAAGTCTGGGGAGTAGGACACGTGCATCTCGGCAGGCTCGGACGCGATCTCACGCAGCTCCTCCTCCACAGCCTTGCCCACGCCCACGGCGTACATGACGATGCCTACGGGGTCAAGGACACAAGGGGAGCCCTACCCCTCAGGAAAGCCGCCACCCAGCCAGCCCCAGCCCAACGCATCTCTGTGCCAAGCCCACCTTCCTCCTTGGCGCGCGCGGCCCACACCGAGATGTCATCCTGGGAGCGGCCGTCGGTGAAGACCAGGCCGACGCGAGGCACGTTGAGGGCGCGAGGCCGCGCGCCCTGCGCCTCAGAGAAGCTGTGCTCCACCATGTGGCGCAGGGCCAGCCCGGTCATGGTACCGCGCTCCATGTACTCCACCGCCAGGACGGCCTGCTTCACCTCTGCCGCGGTGCCGTAGCGGCCCAGCGGGAACTCGGTGCGCACGCGGCTGGAGAACTGCACTAGCCCCACGCGAGTGCCTTCGGGGGACACGTCCAGCAAGTCCACGATCTGGTTCACGAAGCGCTTCACCAGCTCGAAGTTCTGCGGGCGCACGCTTTTGGAGCCATCGACCAGCAGAACCAGGTCCACGTGGCCTTCCCGGCACCCTGGGGAGGGAACAGTGTTTGGATGCAAGGACCAGCCTGCTGCCCATCTGATCATTCATTTGCCAACACTTGTTATATAGCAAATACCATCTGTGAAGTCTTTCTTGTGCCCGGCACTGTGTTAAATGATAACAACAATGTTATTGTCAGCATTCATCATCTTTATAACCCTTGGCATTCATTGTGTGCTTAGCACGAGTCAGGCAATCTACTAAAAATACTTTAAGGAGGAGCAGGAGTTGGAGAAGGAGGGAGAGCTGAAGAGGAAAAACAACAAAAGCAACCAGAACTCCAATCGCTACCTAATCTTGATCTATGAATAGTATGTTCAGAATTCTAAACACTTTACCGCTATTAATAATAATAAATAAAACATTTTTTGACAGCTTACCCTGTGCCAGGCACTTGGCTAAGTGCTTTGCAATAATTCTCAGTACCCCAGGGAGTATGCTTCCAAGGGGGTGGAGTACCTGAAACCCAGGGCAGTGCTGAACCCTGTAAAGAGTGTGGTGTTTCTTACACGTACATTCCTATGCTAAAGTTTAATTTATAACTTAGGCAAACTAAAAGATTAACAGCAATAACTGATGATAAAATAGAACAATTATAACACTACACTATAAAAAAGGTTCTGTAAACATGGTCTCCCTCTCAAAATATCTTATTGCATGCAATAATTTGGGGGGACTGCAGTTGACCAGGGATAACTGAAAACACAGAAAGAAAATCCTCGGTACATATCCTCCTGTACATATGTACCTCCTGGACATATGCAAAATCCTCCTGGACATATGTATTTTTTCTCAATCTTCCCAGTTATCTGAGGTTCTGAAGGATAATGCATTTGCCCCAGATTCCATAGCTACATGTTGGCTGATTTTAAACCAATTCTGTCTCCCAAAACTCATGCTCGCGTCACTCTACAATGCTGCCTCTCCTGGTCTGAGCCAGGGACTTTGCAGGGCCCTGAAGGAGGTTCAACAGGAAGAAACATAATTCTGTTCTTTAAGGAAATCAGGACAGGGCAGAGAGGTCAGAAATGTCATATGCCACAGTCAAAGAAAGTGCTAGAATTGCAAGACATGCAGGGACTCCAAGGCAGGAAAAATTCAAACTTCCTGGAGTTGTTGAGGAAGACTGCATGGAGGTGGTGACACTTGATTGCCAAGGCCAAAAGGGACATTCTACATGGTGAGGGCAGTATGTGCAGAGGTGGAAGCTGGGATCCAGGCACTCGGGAATGGGTGGTCCGGCCCAGCTGAAATGTTCTAGCGTGGCAGAAGATGGGCTGATTGGGTTGGCTGAAGCAAGGCTGTGATGAGCTGAGGCAGTGGTTTCAAATTTTTTACCACAACCCACGTGAAAATAATGTCAACCACAACAATATACCATGACATACTGCATGTGCTCATATACAATTACATTTCATGAAACATTTACTCTTTATAAATGCAGCAAGCTCTATTTTTTTCTCTTCTAAATGCTGGTTGTGACCCACTGATTGGATTTCATTGTCCACTAAAATCCACCACCAATTGAAAGACTCAGGGGAAGGGCTTTGATCTTTATTTTGTAGGCACTGGTAAGCCACAGAAGCTTTTGAGTAAGAGAGCAATGTGATCAAACAAGCATTTTTTAAATTAACCTTTGCAGCAGGGCAGAGGATTAAGGAGAAAGAGATAGAGGCAGGGCATGGCACCAACCGCTCCCCCCCAAAAAAAGACAACTTCAAAACACACATGGATATACCACACCGCAAGAGCAAGCCAAGGATGCTCAGACATGGGCAGTGGGTCAGGGGCAGACAGAACACCCTTCCATGCCTAACTCACGATTGCAGCTCTTGCCATCTGCCTGGAGTTGCCGCCCATCAGGGCACAGGCAGCGGTAGGAGAGGCCCTCGCTCACGCACTGGAACTCACATCCATGGTCTACACCATTGCAGAGGTCCCGGGCTTAAAGGAAAGACAGGTCATGATGAGTCAGGGTAGACTCCACCAGCTAAGATCCCCTGTCCCTCAGCACAAATACAGGCGACCCCTCCTTACCCTGACAGCTCTTGCCATCAGGCAGCAAGTCATGGTCCTCTCTGCAGCGGCACCGAGGGCCACCAAATGTGCTGACACACTCGTGCTGGCAGCTGTGGTTCCCAAAGCTGCAGTGGTCGATGGCTGGTAGGAAGTCAGAGACCACAAGATGTCACTTAGGATTGGAGCCATCAAGAGGCCTCAGTCCAGGGTGCTAGTTGAGGTGTGGGGGACTCCCTTACCTCTGCAGCTCCTCTGGTCCTGCTGGAGTACAAAGCCAGCATGGCAGTGACAGGAATAGGACCCTGGGGAGCTGATGCAGAGGTGCTCACAGTCATGGAGCCCTTCAGCGCACAGGTCAATGGCTGAAAAAGAGGTGAGGTCAGCAGACGCCCGGGCAGTACTTCTCAGCCCTGACAGCACAAATTCCAAGCAGCGTTAGGAGAACACCTATGTGTGGGCCCAATCCCAAAGATCCTACTTAAGCACTCCGGGGTGGTACCCAGCTGTAATCCACAGCTGTAGAAAGCAGGGGCCCCGCCCTCAAGATGCTCACTGACTGACAGCGAAGGGCCGGGTTCTGCCACGTTCCTGTCTGCAAAAAGGGAATATAATGGAAGTGCTACTTGCAAGTTCCTTCTGAGAAGGGTGAACTATTGCCCTGCTGAGTGCCTTGGTGACTTGAAAGTGCCACCCAAGAGCTGAGCTGGAAACTGAGGATGGAGACAGGTGAATTACCCTGCATTAAAAAGCTGGGAATTTGGGGTTCCTAGAAAAGAGATGGGAGTGGAGGGGGGCACAAGAGAGTATGGAGAGGAATGAGCTTGCTAGTGAGAACACCTGCCTGGAGAGGGGGCTGACTGAGGACTTTCAGAAACAAGTGTATGTAATTTTCAGTTATGAATGATGGATGTTTCTTTGTGCATGAAAACTTGGTTTTGCTTAAATATAACTCACATCATCTTTAGTAAAATGGACATAAGCACACTTACAGAGGCCCACACATACCCATGTGTACACAAGTATGTTAACCAAGGAAGAGGCTGAGCTACACGCATGGAGCAAGAGGATCACTGTGGATTGAGAAACTGAGCGAGGATCCACAAATTGAATGGATTCAGCAGAAGTTCACAGCAGAGGGGACTACACTTGGGGATTCCCAGGGGTCTTGGGGGAGGGGATTGAATGTTCATGGGTCATCACATGGGGCTTCAAGCCAGCCTTTTCTGTTTCTAGAAACAAGCTGACATCGGGGCTGTTGGAATCAGGTACCCTCTTTTTCCAGGTGGTTGTGAGGTTGAAGATGCAGCATTAACATTCCAACCACAGCGTCTGATGCTAACTTGGCAGCATAAATGGAAGCTGCAATTATGATCAAAAGAGAGGACACACACACACACACACACACACACACACACGCACGCGAAAGAAAATCCCAACTGTATGAGCCAGACATTGTGTGCTGTTAACTTTTCTGAAAATAAAAATGAAGAACCAGAGCCTTGAAGAACTTGCAGGTGCAGAAAGGAGTGGCGAGGACACCAGGGGGACAGTCGCCATAAGAAGAAAGTGCGGAGATGCAGAAGCAGGAATGACTGACATGTGGGGGGTGGAGGCAGGGGCGTGATGGGGGGGGCTGAAGACTCAAGCAGTGTTTAAGTCACAGAAACAGTAAAGATGTGCCCATGAGGGGCTTCCCTGGTAGCGCAAGGGGTTAAGCACCACACTAAGAAGCAATCCGCAGCCTCTGCAGTACGAGTTCGATCCCCTCCCAGGCTGGCCAGGGAGAAACCCACATGGTGCAGGAGACCTATCCTGTGGCGCCCGCTGCTCCCCTCTGCAGTGTGTTTCAGTGGATCTGCCTGTTCTGCTCCCCACTCTGTCTCTGGTGAATCCTCTCACCCCCCCCCCCGCATCTCTGGCCTGCACCCCAGTTCTGGTATGCATAAATAAATAAATCTTTAAAAAAATGTGCCTATGAGAAGACACAAACAAGTTTGGGGGTGTATGGAGCCAGGAAGGAGACCAACCCGAGAGAGGAGTGGGGGCTCCACTTAACTGTAGGCTCCAAATTTCTACACTGGCCCCACCAAGAACCTGAGTGTCCCCAGGCACTACCTCCCCTTTCTTAGCGATGTAAAGTGCAGGAGCTGGGCTTTTACTTCCAAAGGCCCTTCCGGGTGCTGGGACAACAGGGAGCCACAGAAGGTCAGGAGCCTGGACTTGCAGGGCAAGGGAAGCTCTCACCCAAACAGCTCTTGTTGTCCGCTGCTAGCTGGTAGCCAGGGTTGCAGGCGCAGCGGTACATGCCCGGGGTGTTGACACATTGGTGCTGGCAGCCGTGTCTCCCCTCAGCGCACAGGTCCTTTCCTGAGGACACACACGCCTAGAATCAGCAGGGGACAGAGGGACAGAAGCTGCCACAAGAGACAACTGGTTGCAATCAGAGGCGGGTGCCAGCTCAAGTATGGCCCTGGGTGGAATACAACCCTTGTAAGAGGGGAAGGGCCAATCCAAGTCGGAGGGCTTGGAGAAATGATAGGGCCCGAGTAGCCCCTGAGAATAAGCTCAGAAGAGGGGTTCCCCGGGCTAGATGTGTCAACGGGATGGGTCAAGACTACGCAGGGGTAAGAGAAGGGCCAGAGGTGGTGGAGCTAGGCCCGTGGAAGCAAAGGCGGGCAGCACTGAAGTCACACACAGCCTGCGCGCGGGGCGGGGGGGGTGGGGGTGGGGGTGGGGGGCAGCAGAGGACGCTGCACTAGGGGGTGAGCGGGGCAACAGCTGGCGCCCCAGGCGGGGCCCCGGAGTGGGCGGAAATCCGCGCCCTGCTGCAGCGCTCCCTTGACGCACCGCACAGCCGGCTTTGGAACTGCAGGCCAAACTGCTGGATGAGGTCGAAGGACTCGACAAGGAAGACGTGCTCGTCCAGCGGGGGAGACGCCATGGCGCGCAGGGAGCCCACGTCGGCGCGCTGCACCCCCACCGCGTAGATCTCGATGCCGCGGGCGCGCGCCTTTGCGGCCACCTCGGCCACTCGGTCCTGGGGTCGCCCGTCCGTCACGATGACAGCGATGCGCGGCACGCGCGCCTCCGGGGGGCGCGCCCCCTCCGCCACGCTGAAGGCCACGTTCATGGCGTACTGGATGGCCAGCCCGGTCATGGTGCCCTGCGCCAGAGGCACGAGAGCGCGGAGGGCGCGCTCCATGTCCTCGCGGCGCGAGAAGGCGCCGAGAGGGAAGACACTCTGCACTTGGCTCGAATACTGGATCACACCCACGCGCGTGGCGTTGGGCCCCACGTCCAGGCCGCGCAGAAGGCCCATGAGGAACTGCCGCATGGTCTCGAACTCGAAGGGGCGCACGCTGCGCGAGCTGTCGATCACAAACACCAAATCCAGGGGCCCAGAGCGGCATATGGGACCTGCGAGAAGATCGGGGAGATTTTCCAAAATCAGCGAAGATCTCGGAGGAGGCCCTCCCCCGAAACCCAGGGCGAACTGGAGCTGTCCCGGGGTAACCGCGCCCAGCGCAGAAGGAACCAGGCTGAGAGCCCGTGGAGAGAGCTATTCTGAGGCAGCATGGCGCTCGGGAAGATGGGGGTGGGGTTGGGGGGGGTGGATTCAATGGCAGCAGCCTCTGGCTTTTTCAAAAGAAATCCCAAATCGGGATTTTCATGTGAAAGCTCCAGACTGCTTTGAAAAATTTAACACCCAATGGGCAGTTCTGCATAAGCCCCACGTTGCCACCTCGAAGCCACAACCTGAGAAAACTGAGGCCCAAAGAGGTGAGGCTGCGACCTCAAATCCAGCCCTTTTCCGGTTTCAAAGCCCTGGTTTCTCTCTCCCCGGCCTCGCCAACGACAGGTGGAGAACCAGCTCTTGCTCCCCATCCCCTGCTGGCCAGGCCGCCGCTCACCCGCGCGCTGGAGCTGGGCTTCCCAGGGCAGGAGAAGGAGGAGCAGCAGGGCCAAGGGCCAGCCTGGAAGCCCCCTCATGGCGCTTGGGGGACAGAGAACGGAGCTGTCAGAGCCTGGAGGGAGGAGGGGAAATAGCACAACGTTAGTATTTGCAGAGCTCTTTTTCTGGAGGATGGACACGTGGAGGGGAGAAGAGGATCATGAGTTTATTTTACTCACCTCTCGCTTTTGTGTATGTTTTTGAAATCTTTCACCAAAAAAAAAAAAAAAAATCAGTACATGGGCTTGCTGGGAAATGCAAGGAATTTCTCTGTAGAATCGCAGAATGGTAAGTAAATCGAAAGTAGCTTTTAAAAATTACAAAATTTGAAAAGAAAACGCCAGGCCTCCCTGGCGGTGCAAGGGCTTAAGCACCGCACTTTGAAGCGATCCGCAGCCTCTGCAGCATGAGTTCGATCCCCAGCCAGGGAGCAGCCCACATGGCGCAGCAGACCTCTCCCGTCTCCCGGCTGCTCCCCTCAGCAGTGTATCTCAGTCAGTCTGCCTGTTCTGCTCCCCACTCTGTCAATGGTGGGTCCTCTCACTCCCCGCATCTCTGGCCTGTACCCCAGCTCTTCTATGCATAAATAAAAATAAATCTTAAAAAAATAATAAAAATAAAACGCCTTTTTCCAAATGCCAAGTACGGTATTAAATGCTTTTCATGCATTTTGGTGCCTCATGCTCTGGACATTTCCTGCGACGCTCTCTTATTCCCGTTTACCTAGAAAAACACCGGTTCCCAAAGCCCTGCGGCCAAAAAGTGGCCGCGCCAGGAACCAACCCTACTTCCTTGGGGTTTCAGGGGACACCCCCCCACCGAGTGTTCAGCGGCCCCTTCTCCAGCGAGGACAACCGCGGCAGATGGACGCCACCCCCCACCTCGGCCCCCTGAGTGTGGGGGTCCTTCACACACACACACATTCAGACATGCCCCCCAACCGCTAGCCGCACCCTTTTTTCAGGGTTTAGGTGTAGGGGGGGGTTGGAAGCACCCCCCAACCCCACCCCCCCACCCCACCCCGCGCGCCCTTGAACTCCGAGCGGGGCGCTGCTCCCCCCCACGGCCGCCAGGGGCGCCCTCCCGGCCCGGCTGCGGGCGAGGCGCCGTGGGAAGGCCGCGCCGGCCCAGCAGGTGCCCCAGCCCTGAGCAAACAGGGCCAGGAGCCCCGGGGCCTTGGAGATAAGGCTCGGGCAGGATATATCCCGCGCGGGGCCCCCAAGCAGGGTGCGCAGGCCTCTGGGGACGGCGGTGCACGCGCTCCCCGAAGGGCAGTGAGCGCGCGGGGCCATGGACTCTGTGGGGGCAGCAGGTAAGCGCCCACCCCGCGCCACCCGTGGCGACGCCCCTTGACAACGACAGAGGATCCCCGTTGTACAGATGGGAAAGTGAAGGCCCAGACGCAGGCCCTCCTCGCGGCAAGGGACCCCGGCTTCCCTTCTCGCTTCTGGGCGGCTGGGCCTGGCGCCCCGGAGTCAGTAAATCCCTTTTCTCCTCTTCCTGCCCTCTGCTCCCTCCTCCGCGCCCGCGCCCCAAGGCCCCCCCCCCCCCCCCCCCCCCCCCCCGCCGCCCCTAACCCAGCCGCAGCCCCGCCCCCGGGCCGTGAATAGGCCCTTTCTGAGCGGCCGGGGGCTGCGGCTCACTCCGGGCCGCCTCGGGTCCAGGCTCCTTTCTGCCTCCTCCCTGCAGGCCCGGTAGAGGAACAGAACTGCCTCTGCCAGGGCCCGTCACGGGAGGGTGACTCAACCAGATGTGCCAGCTGCTGCTGGAGGTGGAGGGCGAGCAATGAACGCCTCTCTAGTGTGCCCGCGAGGCCAGCACTCGGGGAGAAGGCGAGGAAAGACACAAAGAGTCTTTGCGAAGCCTCTGAGCCCCCAAGGCTTGATGAATGCCCCCCCTTATCCTGTGTTTGGCCTGAGCCAGCATCTCACCTGGCGCCCCACCTGCACCCCAGGAATCCTCGAAAGTCAAAGTTGCTGCTGCTTCAAATTTCCTTTCCAACCCCCTCATTCCACAGAGGAAGGAAGAAGGTCCAGAGAGGGCAGTGTCTGGCCCGGGGCCACACAGCCATGGGGGGGGCAGGACCCTGGAGCCCCGGGCTCCCCAGGGGCTCATCCTGGCTTGGAAATGCCCTTAGAGTGGGGAATGCAGGCGCTCAAAGATGGGCAGGGTTGAATAATTCCTCAAGAATTGGCTGCAGAATGACATTTTGGGGGCGTGCCTGGAGGGAAAAGATTAGGGGGAAGGCCCCCCATTTCCGTGACCTTGTTAGTTGGGGTTCAATTTGGACCCCACAGAAGTGGGGACTGCCGGATGGGGGGCCAGAGTCGTGCTGCCAGGTGTTAAATACCTAGCCTCGTCTGCCTCGCGCCCCCCAACCCCTCGCCGCAGACCCCTCCGCGCCCCCAGGCCCTCTGACTCACCTGAGCCTACCGGACAATTTGGAGGCGCGGCCGCTGAGCCGAGCGGACGGGCGGAGCCTCGCGGGCAGCTGGACCAGGTAACGGGCGGGCAGCGTGCCCGAGGCGGGCACTGCCAGGCGGCTGGGGCGAGCGGAGGCGGCGGCCGCATTTAACCCGGGGCAGGCGAGCGCGAAGGGGGAGCGCGGGCTGCGACCCCTCCCACTAGCAGGGGGGACCCTCCCCTCCCATGGGGGTGGGCGGGGCGAGCGCGGCGCCCCCCAGTCCGCGCCCCCTCGGAGCGGCCGCCGCGGCGAGCTGCGGGGCGGGAGACGGCGGCTGCCCTCGCGGCGCGCGGAATGCCTGGAAGCCGCCGAGCACTGCCCCGAGGAGCGCCCCAAGGGGCGGAGCGGCCGCCGGCGGCCTGGCCCCGCTGGCGAGGGGCGGCCCGGGCTCCTGCCTCCGCGGCGCCCTCCTGGAGGGAGGCTTGATCCCGACTCAGGTCCTGCCAGGAGGACAGCCCCAGGGCAGCCGCCGGGCCCCGCCGGGGTTCCCTCCAGTCTCCACTTTCAGTCCTTTGCCGGTTCTCTGCCACTGCTGGGGTCTTAGGCCCGCCCACCCTCACCCAGCAAAGCTCTCTGGCTGAGCGCACTGGCTCCTGGGCGCCCTCCGACCACCCACTGGGCGGCGGAGCCCTGGGCTCGAGGAAAGGACATCTGTCTGGGACAGCAAAGGGCCTCTTCTGAGGGAATCAGGACAGGGAGGTGGCGAGGACCCCCGTCAGGCTCAAGGGATCCCCCAGCATCCTGGGGGCCCAGTTGGCCGGGCCCTTCCATGTTTCCAGGCATTTGCAAAGCCCCTGGTCTTGGGGTCCAGGAAAGCCTTTTTCCCCTGGCCTCAAGCCTCCCCTGGGGCAGATTCCTCTAGGCTGCAGGGAAGCCAAGCACCCTCACATACCCTGCCTCCCCCCAAGACCTGCAGGAGTGCAGCCTCTGTGCGGCTGGAGGCTCTGGCTAACGCTCACTGACCAGGCAGACCCCCATAGTGGCACGTGCGTGGTCCCGGTGGGCTCCTGCGGGCTCACTGAGCACCACACAGACCAAATGTTTTGCTCACGACTCGCACCAGAGTCCTCTCCCTTGGCGTCACCGCCCGTCCCCGCAGGAGGCGGAACATGCCTCCCATTCATTTCATTCAACCTTCATGCTTCAGTCTCCCCTCACCTCCCCCCTTCTGCTCCAGCCGTGCCCTGGCCTGCCCTCCCTCCAGGTCATCCCTGGAGGGCACCTCCGTCCTGAGGGAAGGTGTGCGCAGGTGCCTGCAGCTGCAGTGCGAACAGACCGTGCGCATCCTCCATGCCAAGGTGGCCCAGAAATCCTATGGAAATGAGAAGCGGTAGGTGCCTCGGTGGCCTGGCCCAGTCCCTATACCCGCTTCCCTCGTGTGTCTTTTAGAACCTGGGGAGGACTCAGTTCAGCTACCTGCTGATCTACCTGAGCTTTGCCCTCAGCCCCATGGCCCCACTGTCCTCTCTACAGCACCTCCCTGAGAAGCCACAGCCCCTACTTGTCCTCCCGCTGGCCCAGTTCTTCACTCTAGCCTTCAGCAACTCGCTGGGTGCTTGTGTCCGGGCACTGGGCACGCCACTGAGCAAGCAAAGTACCCAAAGTCAGCAAAGGATATATTTCCAGATTTTTTAAAAAGTTTTATTTACTATTTATGCATACAAGAACTGGGGTGTAGACCAAAGGTGTGGGGGGTGAGAGGATTCACCAGAGACAGAGTGGGGAACAGAACAGGCAGACTGACTGAAACACACTGCTGAGGGGAGCAGCCGGGAGACAGGAGAGGTCTGCTGCACCATGTGGGTTGCTCCCAGGCCTGCCAGGGATCGAACTCCTGCTACAGTGCCTGGCGATAGCTTGGTAGTGCAGTGTCTTTAACCCCTGTGCCACCAGGGAGGCCCTATTTCCAGATGTGATGAGAGCCAGCAGGGAAAGAGAACCCAGACTCTCGCTAGAAAGGTCAAGGTGCAGGAAAGGCCTTTGAAGGAGGAAACATCTGAACTGAGACTTGAATGTGAAGACGGAGCCAGGCATGAGAACATCTGGGCAAAGCAGGTTCCAGGGAGAAGGAACAGAAAATGCCAAGACCTTGAGGCTGTACCAACTTGGCCGGCTCGAGGTCCAGTGAAGTGGGAGTGGCTGGGATTAGAGAAGGCGGGAGGTTGGAGGAAATGAAGCTGGAGAGGTGCGCGCTGGCCAGGTCATGTGAGGACTCTGAATTTAAACCATGGGAGTTTTAAGAAGATGAGTAACATGCTTTAAAAACACACACACAGAGCACCGTGACTGCTGTGCGAGCACGCCGGAGGCGGCTGGAAACACACCAGGGGAAGGCGAGGCCGGGGCCGAGAGAAAACTGCCGTGCTGGGGGCGGCGTGGGGGTGGCCAGAAGCCAGGGGTGTGGATATGTGCGAAGGCGTGGACAGAGCTTGCTGAAGGACTGAATGAGGGGAGTGGAAGAAGGTCTGGGGGTGGACGGGGTTCACAGTCAAGAAACGATCTGGAGGAGCGGCGGGAAAAGCGAGACTGGACCGTCTTGTTGGATCTGCGCCGCCTTTGCGCAGGGACAGGACAGCCCAGGGCCCCTTCGTGGATAAGGCTGTGCTCATGTCTCCGCAGGTTCTTCTGCCCCCCGCCCTGTGTCTACCTCGCAGGTCCCGGCTGGAGGGTGAAGCCAGCGCAGGGTCAAGGTGAGGGCGGACTCCCGGGCCCTGGGGCGCCTCCCATGCAGGGTGGGGGGTCCGCGCAGCAGAGCTTGGGGACGCGGCGCTGTCGACGCGGTCTCGCGCGCCATCTGGCGGCGAGATCGAGACTTGCCGGCACCCAGCGCTCCAGAGCCCGCGCGCCCCTCCCCAGCGCACCAGCCCGGCGAGGCGGGGCCCACCGTGTGCGGCTACATGGGACTGGACGGCGCGTCCGGCAGCGCCGCCGAGACGCAGAAGCTGAATTTCGAAGAGCAGCCGGACTCCAGGGTGAGCGCCCGCGGGAGCTGCGTCCATCCTGGCCTCTTCCCAGCACAGGAGAACTCATTGACCCTCCTGCAGAAGCCGGGGCGCCGGGGTTCCGCCTGGAGGGTGCGCCCCAGGGCTTGACTCGTGCATGTCAACCCGATGGGGCGGACGTCTTGTAGCAGGGAGGGCGCTTCGCCGGCGGCGGCGGGGGGCTGGGATGAGACGACCGCATCCCCCCAACCCCGCAGGAGTTCGGCTGCGCCAAGACCCTGTACATCTCGGACGCGGACAAGAGGAAGCACTTCAGGCTGGTGCTGCGCCTGGTGCTGCGCGGGGGCCGCGAGCTGGGCACGTTCCACAGCCGCCTCATCAAGGTCATCTCCAAGCCCTCGCAAAAGAAGCAGTCGCTGAAAAACACCGACCGTGAGCGGGCCGGGCCGCAGGCTGGGCGGGGAGGTGTCGTACGGGCGGCTGGGTCTGGGATGCGGGCGAGGCCGGGGCTGCAGGCGTGGGGTCAGGCTGGAGACCCGGGGGGTCAGGCTGGAGACCCGGGGGCCGAGCCTAGAGCGGGCGGCGTCTGGGTGAGTGGGTGGGCCTTGTCTGGGGACCGTGACGAGTTAGAGACCGCCGAGTAGCGGGGAGAGGGGTAGAGACCAGACCTGGGGAAAGCTGAGGACCACACCGGACAAAAACCTCCTGCGGACGCAGGACTAAAGACAGACTGCCAGTGACTACAAAAGGGCAGAGGAAATTCAATTAAAAGTACTTATTTTTTAAAGATTTATTTATTTATGCATACAAGAACTGGGGTACAGGCCAGAGGTGTGGAGGGTGAGCAGATTCACCAGAGACAGAGTGGGGAGAAGAACAGGCAGACTGACTGAAATACACTGCTGAGGGGAGCAGCGGGCGAGACAGGAGAGGTCTGCTGCGCCATGTGGGTAGCTCCCTGACTGGGGATTGAACTTGTGCTGCTGTGAGCTTCATAGGTTGCGTCTTAACCCCTTGTGCTACCAGGGAGGCCCTAAAAGTACTTACTGAGTGCCTGCTGCATTCCTGGGCTCGGTGCTAGGTGCCGGGACCCCCTTAAATAAAGAGAAGTGTCCGTTCTGTTCCAGAGCAGCTGTCTGCTAGTAGGGGAGAGACACGTGGCTGAGATAAGTACTGCCCTGGGGCCCAAGTGACTAGGGGCTTTGAGAATATAGAAAAAAGAAAAGAAAAATCCTGAATAACAGTAAGAACACTGCCTCTGTCCTCACTAGGCGGGGAGCGAGAGGGGTAAATGGCTGTGGAGCAGGAGTGCTCAGTGTGTCCACGCGATGGGCACCTGGGGGCAGAGGCTGGACAGTTGGGCAGTTGCAGGGACAGTCTCAGGCGCTGACCGCCCCTCCCCTCGCAGTGTGCATCTCCTCGGGCTCCAAGGTGTCCCTCTTCAACCGCCTGCGCTCCCAGACGGTCTCCACCCGCTACCTCTCGGTGGAGGATGGAGCCTTCGTGGCCAGCGCGAGACAGTGGGCTGCCTTCACGCTGCACCTGGGTAATGAGCCCCACGGGCCAGGGCTGAGCGCTTCTCTCTCTCTCACGCACACAGGGGTGTATTGAGCCTCACTGTGACTCCTCAAAAAAGGGGACATCATCCCAAGGAGCTGAGGCTCAGAAACAGAGCCCCAGAGGCCAGTCAGTGACTGATGGCCTTGTCCTAACTCCCGTGGGGGCACAAGTCTGTGAGGTGGTTCTCTGGGATGAGAACCTTCCGCCTTAGCTCCCTCCCTGCAGCCAGCTCGGCCCACAGGCCCCAAGTGTGATGAGAGGTGGAGCCAAGGCAAGAGGGCAGGATTTGGAGTGGAAACTTGATACCCTGAAAATCTCCTTGCTTCCCCTCCCCTCCCTCAGCTGATGAACACTGTTCCCAGGGGGACTTCCCGCCTCGGGAGGGCTACGTCCGCTATGGCTCCCTGGTGCAGCTGGTCTGCACCGTCACAGGCATCACGCTACCTCCGATGGTATGGGAAAAGGGGCACACTGCAGGGTTCCCGCAGGACACCCGTTCTCCTGGGGACATGCAGTGGTTTCTGGGCCCGGAGGGAGGAAAGGGTCCCTGGAGTGGGGGGCAGTACCCCCATGGCTCTTGGAGAAGCAGAAACTGGCAGGAAGGGTGGGCTCTGCGCACCCAGCCCACCCTGCCTGGCGCCCTTCTCCGGTAGATCATCAGGAAAGTGGCCAAACAGTGCGCGCTCCTCGATGTGGACGAGCCCATCTCCCAGCTGCACAAGTGTGCCTTCCAGTTTCCCGGGGATCCTCCAGGAGGGGGCGGCACGTACTTATGTCTGGCTACGGAGAAGGTGGTGCAGTTCCAGGTGAGAAGCAAAGCATCCAAGAAAGCCAGACCTTGGCCATCCCCGCTGCTCCCCGCTGAGCAGCGCCGCCTCCACGGGGCCGTTGGGTCATAGACGGGCAGGGCAGCTTCAGAGAAGGTAGAAACAGCAGCGGGAATGTTACTGAGCAATCCTCCTGCCCTAGTCCTAGTCATAGACCGTTGAGCTGTAACAGCACCCCGTTAGCTTCCTTGGGAGGGGGCCTGGGAGGGTCCCCGAGGGTATCTATTAGGCTGTGGGGTGTAAATAAAGTATTGTGTATCATTGAACAGACTATTACAGTAAAAGCACAGACTGTTAAGACAGAAGCATGGAACGTGGGAAATGTTATTAACATCATCAAGTAAGAGTATGCTCTGGGAATATTCTCCAAGAAGACTGAGATAAAATCATAACATGCAGGAAACAGCAGTGCTGTTGAGCAATAGTCCCTTCCAAATTGTAAGCTGTAAAATTTTAGGGTGTAACATTGTGCAGTGTTTAAAAATAGAATTCTGGAATGTTAGACACTAGTGAGTGCAGGGAACTTCACTGACGCAGACACCTGTAGGGTCTCGTCCGGGTTCACAGGGACACTTAGGACAGGAAACTAGATGGGAAAGCCCAGGCACTCGGGGGCTCCCCAAACTCCTGCTTAGATGCCCTCTGGTGTCCTCCAGGCCTCCGCCTGCCCCAAGGAAGCTAACCGGGCGCTGCTCAACGACAGCTCTTGCTGGACCATCATCGGCACTGAGTCCGTGGAATTCTCCTTCAGCACCAGCCTGGCGTGCACCCGCGAGCCGGTCACCCCGGTACCCCTCATCAGCACCCTCGAGGTGAACTGGGCGTTGGGGGGCGCTGCTGGGCGTCGACCCTGCCTGCCCTGGGGAGAGCAGTGAGGGAGAGCAGCAGGCTCATGGCCACCCTTTGCCCAACACCGTGGGGTCCCCCCTCCCCTAGCTGAGCGGCGGAGGCGACGTGGCCACGCTGGAGCTCCAGGGCGAGAACTTCCACGCGGGGCTCAAGGTGTGGTTCGGGGACGTGGAGGCCGAAACCATGTACAGGTATGGGGCAGGGGTGAGGCGAGCCCCGGGGCCAGAGGGAGGGTGCGCAGCGTCAGCCCTAACTGGTGTCACCGCAGCGCTCCCCCGACCCCGACCCGTGCCCTCCCTCACCCCAGAAGCCCGCGCTCCTTGGTGTGCGTGGTGCCCGACGTGGCCGCCTTCAGCAGCGACTGGCGCTGGCTGCGCGCACCCATCACAGTGCCGGTGAGCCTCGTGCGCGCCGACGGGCTCTTCTACCCCAGCGCCTTTTCCTTCACCTACACCCCGGAGTACAGCGCGCGGCCCGGCTCCCCGGGCGCCCCCGAGCCGGCCGCCAGCGCCGACGCGCTCCTGGAGAGCATCCACCACGAGTTCACGCGCACCAACTTCCACCTCTTCATCCAGACCTAGGCGCGCCCTGGACGCCGCGCGCCGGAGCTCTGCGCCCCGGCTCCCCCGCGGCCCCAGCCCCACGCCCAGGCCCACGCCGGCCCCAGGCCCTGCTCTGCCCCTCCGCTGGGAAGAGAAGGGCTAACCTGAGCGCCGAAAGCTTGTTGAAAGCTGTTGCCATGGAAACCTGGCAGGCGGCTCGCTCGTGGCCACTTCTCCATCGGAAGACGCCACCTGAGAGGGGTGCGCGGATCCCTCAGGAGGGCGACTCTGTTTCACTCTAAACCAAGCTCTTTCCTCTCAAGAACTCTGTGGACATCTATTCGTGTGTGCCTGTCCCTCAGTCTCTCTCTCGGCACCTCCCGGTCTCACAAACAGCCCCACGAGCCCTCAGCTGTGTCTCCAAGAGGAGCTTCACACCCCAAGTGTGGGGTTCAGCTTATGTGGCAAGGCCTTCCGGCCCTGGACTTGTCTGACCTGAGTATCAAGTCCCCCCTGGAGTGCTGGCTCCCACTTGGGCCCCCTCCTGAAGCATGGGGGTCCTGCCTGGAGACCTGGGTTCCATCCTGGAGCGCCAGCCCTGCCCCTGCATACACTCCCTATGGCTCCAGCCTTGCCTGAGCTTGCTCCCTGGCCCACAGCGTTGGTGGCTGGGCAGGTGCCTGGGGGTCAGATCTGGCCATCTCTACTCACCCAGGCACTTCCCTCATGGGCCCAGAGGGATGCAGGCCTGAGGGCAGGGATTCCTCCCACTATCACAGATCTCTGTGCAAAAGGAGTGTGTTCTGTGTGACCCATGTCCCCAAGGAGGGACATGCCACGTTGTAGTTCTGCCCCCTCAGCCTGCCCACCCTCAGCTGCTGTTTGCCGCAGGAAAGCAGAATACCAGGCAGGGGTCCCGGCTACCTGTATCAGGTAGTGCCCCTCCTGATGGTGCTCAGTGGGGAGGTCTGGGCTGGAATATGGGCTCAGGCCCTGCACCACCACACTGGGCCCTTTATAGAAATCTGAGGAAGGGCTTGTTTCTGCAGAAATCACCCCACCTTCCGAAACATGGAAAGCCCCAAGAGAAAGAAGCAGTTGACATTTCCCCAGGGGAGGAAATGAGGTTTGCTCTTTACATTCTAGAAGTCTTGGCTGAGTTCCGTCATCAGCCATCTGCAGGCTGAAACCCACTCTGATAGGGAGGGAGGAGGTTGTTCAAAGCCACCCACATCCCCAAGAGGGAATCTTGGCTGAGGAAGGCAGGCAACAGGTGTCCCCAATGGGAGCGCCTGCCTGGGGACTGTGAGCTCACTGTCCCTGATGATGTCGAAGCGGGAAGCTATGGGGTTCATAGAGTACCACATGGGAAGTTGGGGTTCAGGTGCTGCCCTCAAGGACTTGCTCTGCCAACTCCACAAGGCAGGAACCCTGGAAGCCAAGAACCACAGCAGGCCTTGGAGCCAGGCCCAGACACGTGGCTCTGGCTTCCTCTGCGCTCTCCTCAGGGCGCCCTAGAGCCCATGGACCAACTTGCACATCCCCTGAAGTCTGCGGCCTCAGAGTCCCAGCTGGCCTGACTTCTGAGGCACAGGGACAAGAGGGAGGGGTGCGTGCCATCAGCCCTCACTGGACTGTCCCTGCAGGTCCTCCCAGCCCCCAGCCTGAATCCATCTAACCCGCTTTGCAGCTCCTAGTAGATCCCCTCCCCCCATTGAACTGTGGGGGGCTTTGCTTCTTCCTTTGCACCGGCATAGGCTTCTTCCTGCTCAGACATCACTTTTTCCAATTTGTGGGTCCCAGTGTGAAACAAAAATGTTTTTAAAAACTGTTAAGAACGGGCCTCCCCGGTGGCGCAGCGGTTGAGTGCTGGGTTGTACAGCTGCCCGCAGCCTCTGCAGCGCCGGTTCAATCCCTGGCCGCCGGGCGAGGGTCCCACATGGCGCGCAGACCTCTCCTGCCGCCCGCTGCTCCCCTCAGCAGTGTGCTTCGGTCCTTCTGCCTGCTCTGCTCCCTGCTCTGGCTCTGGTGAGTTCTCTCACCCTCCCGTGTACCCAGTGCTTGTATAAATAAATATTAAAAAAAAAAAAAAAACCTGTTAAGAACTTGAAACCAGTGAGAGCAGAGCCTGCAACAAGCAGGGGAGCGTCTAGGCCTGGAGCTTGGTGGGCCTGAGCCACTCCACGCCATGGAACCCCCCAGGCTTTCTACCTGTGTTCCACAGAACCCCTGTCACGGCCCCACCTGGGATCATGTGCATGTCAGGTGTCCCCTCTAGATTGTGAACTCCATGTGTGGGAAGGAGCTCATCACTGCTTGTCCCAGAGGGTGCATTGCAAGGTCTTGAATGGGGCCTCAATAAATACCAAATTGTGTTGTGTTGGCAGAGCTATTCTGCAAGTGCAAAGTGATGCCAGCAGGTGGCACTGTTCCCCGCGCAGGAACCCCATGTTCCTTTATCTCTAGTTAAGAGAAATGAAGATCCACAAGGATTGTCTTCAGTTTTTCATGCTCTCAGGATCAAGACCCCGGCCCTCCCCTTCCCACCACCACACACACGGGTTGGGGATCATTGCTCTTGTCCATATTTCCTCCTCGTTTTACAGTTGGGGAAATAAGGTCCAGGGAGAAGCCCATGAAGCTCATGTGCATGAGCTCATGTGTCTTGAATCCTAAACTCCAGGGCTCTGAGCTTCTCGCATAGGAAGATTAAGGTCAAAATCTCTGCCCCACACTCTCCCCACTTACTGGCTCTCATGCTGCTGAGGCCCTACCGTGAACAAGTGAGCCTTCTGGTTTATGCCCTTACCTTTGAATTTCTCTCTTCTGTTTCTTTTATTTTGAGGGGCACAACTTCTGTTCCTTTTAACTTGGGCTTCCTCAAAAAGAAACTTACAAGACCGCAGTGTGGGCCCATTTTCAGACACCACACTCCCCGGGGAGGGTATGGATCACTGAGGGCACTGTGACGATGGCCTGGGAGAGAGGAAGTGGTTTGAAAGGGGCACAAAGCCCACAAGACAATATCTAGCAAGCTTTGCAGGTGTCTGTCCTGACCACACTCATCAAAAAAGGTCCCCTAGTCAGGCCTGGCTTTGTTCCAGTCCCCAAGGGACAGAGGTGGGGAGGAAGCAGTGGCACAATAATGGGGTGAAGTGGTGAACACCTCCAGTTATCTGCCAGCCACATGGGGGAAGCCTGAGGGAGGGGTGAGAGGCAGGCGACGCTCTGGGGCAGGCAGAGCCTCGTGACCAAGTTCTTTGTGGACTCGCCCTGGTTACAGGCCATTGAAGAGAGGTCCGCTCTGCCAGGCTCACCCCCAAGTCTTCATCTGGCTCGAAACATCGTCCTTTCCCACCTGGCTCAGGCTCACCAGGGGAGGGGTACTGGGGCTTGGCTGGGTTTGCCCCGCTCTGCCACAGATCCCTGAATAACCTCTAAAATGGCATTTCACCGCAACGTTGATGAAAAAAGCAACCCCAGTGAATGTGTGAGGAAGGACCTGCTTCCCTGAAGATAATCTGAGTGAGCTTACCCCCCACCCTGCAACCATTCACTTAGTTGTAGTTTCCAAGAATGAGGACATACTGTGTGCACGCACATGCATTTACGTCTCCTCGTACCCATTACTTTTACATATTATCAGAGAGGTCGCCTTAAAATGAAGGCACGCACAGCTCATGACGGCTTTTCAGCCATCTTGGAATCCAAATGATGTGTACTAGCCAGGGGCGCTGGCCACTTCAAGTCCCTTAACTTCTCCGGGCCTCAGTTTCCTCTTCTGTAAATAGGGACATCAGTATTTGTTTCATAAGATGGGAGGAGGAATAAAAGAACTAATAGGTGTAGAGCACTTTGGACAAGGCCTGGTCCAGGTAACCACTTTCTGTGGGTTAACGGCCCTCACTAGTTTTTCTAGAAGCTCTTTTGGATGTGCTCCAATACTGTACTCTCCATTTAATAGATAGGGGAGTTGATGGTTCAGAGGAGGTAAGTGACCTTCCTGTATTGGTTTTCTGTGTTGTGTAACAACTTACCCCAAATGTGCCAGATTAAAACAATACACATTTATTGTTCTGCGGATTTCATGGTCCAGGAGTCCAGCAGGGCTTAGCTGGGTCTTCTGCTCAGGGGCACCCAAGATGAGAGTCGAGGTGCCAGGGCTGCTCTCTGAGGCACAGGATCCTATTCCCTAGCTCCCTGGATTGTTGTCAAAGTTCATTGCAATTTGCCAATTGCAGACCTCACAGCAACTTGTTTCATAGAGGTCAACAGGAGAGCTCCATCCTTATCAGGAAGGTTCCACATCTTCTTTATAGGTCTTTCAATTGATTAAACCTGACCCAACCAAAATAACATTTTTGTGAACTCTAAAATCCACTACTCTTCAACAACGCAGGGGATAGGAATGCCGACCCCACCCCACATAGTCAAATATCTGAGAATAACTTTTGACCCCCAAGAAATGTCACTACTAACAGCCCCTCTATTGACTGAAAACTTCCCCAGAAACATACTCAGTGAACACAATTGTGTATGCTAAATGTATGATACTGTGTTCTTACAATAGAATAAGCTGGAGAAAAGAAAATGTCATTAAGAGAATCATAAGGAAGAGAAAATATATTGACAGGACTGGACTGTATGTAGTAGTACTGTAACTTTATGTGGTCTATTTATAAGAAAATCCACATAGAGGTGAACCGGTGTTAATCAAAGGTCAACTGCAATTCAGGACCTTAGTGACATGTTTATGATCCCTTCACCTGTGCTACCTAATGTATCTCAATCATGGCAATGGCATCCACATTGTTTTTACTCAAAGGGAGAGAATAGTTTGTACAACGCACCAGGGTTCCGGATTCTTGGGTGCCGTCTTGGAATTCTGTCTATTCCACCCTCCAAAACACACAGCAAATTATGGGGTAGGGAAACCTAAGCACCATGAAGCACCATGAAGGAAATATGCCATGTGGGAGTGTTTCTGCTGCCACAGAAGATTAATGGATCCTTGAAAGAAAATGGCCCAATATTGTCCAAAACTCATACTTTGCTTCCCTTTCCCAATTCTCAGATACGTTATCACAGCCAGTTCCACCCAGTCAGCTCTCCAGATAAGTTAACCCCAGAGCAACCCAGCAGGGGGGCTAGGATAACCGCCTTCAAGGCAGTGGAGACTCTCCCAACCAACAGCAATGACCTTGTGAGTTTCTTCCGGGTCTCGGCCATGACAGGATGGTCACTTCCATCTGCCTCTCTTGGAAAGCCAATGTGTCCCAAGGATACCCCATCAGTTCTGTGGGGTGTCCCCAAGGTGAGGAGCTGAGACTTCCTGCCAATAGGCCCACCAACTTGGCAGACCACCTTAGATGCGACCCCCCCAGCACAGCCAAGCTCTCAGGTGACTGCAGTCTGGCAGACATTTTTTTTCATTTTTGTTTTTCTTTAAAGATTTATTTATGCATACAAGAGCTGGGGTGCAGGCCAGAGGTGTGGGAGGGTGAGAGGAGTCACCAGAGACAGAGTGGGGAGCAGAACAACTGGATCTACTGAAATACACTGCTGAAGGAAGCAGCGGGTGAACCAGGAGAGGTCTGCTGTGCCGTGTAGGTCACCTCCCTGGCCGGGGATCAAATCCTGCTGCAGTGGCTGCGGACAGCTTCATAGGTGTGGGGCCTGAGCAGCCCCCAGTGTCACAACCGGCAGTGTGGTTATGAGCAGACTCCAGATCCACATGGCCTGGCTTCGAATCCCATCTCTATCATTTTTGCTGCTACCATCAGTTCCTCTTTGGAACTGGACCCTCTTTGCATCCTCCCTTCGCACCCACCCCATGACCCCCAGCAAAGCACGGGGCGATGTGGCACCAGGGGAGAACAACTGGAGTCCAAGTCCCTGCAATTAGGTTTCCCTCTGCACAGACAAGCTAAGGGCAGATTTCCTTGGAAGCAAGGATTTACCCACCTCCCAACCCTTTTATGATGCTCAAGAGGGGGCCAGTGCTGTTGGTCTGAGTCTGCCAAGCACAGTGCAAGCAGAGGTCAGGCAGATGCCAAGAGAGAAGGCAGAGCCCGTTTCTGGAAGGATTCCTGCTGGTCAACAACCCCCTGCAGTTCTCATGCAGCCCTAGAGCTGCCAAATCTTGAATTTTTCCCAAGAAGTGGGAGAGCTGGAGTTTATGGGGAACATCTTCATTTCTCCAGCTGGCACCAAATCTAAGGATTTGTGTATGTGTTTTAGACACGGTGCTGCCTAAACAAAACACTGGGGCAAGCAGGACATGCCCTCGGGTGCCGCCTGGCCTTCTCCCTCCCTCCAAGTGCCCTGGCTCCCCACGTCTCTGCCTCCGGGGTCTGACACTCCAAAGGGCTCTGTGGCCGGGGTAGTGATCCACTGAGATCCAGGAATACAGAGCGCAGAAAAGATGACCTGTTAGGAACCTGAGGATGACAGAGGCAGGAGATCTAGAAAGTACAGGTTTTATTATCTTTTTATCAAAAAATCAGTAACAGACAACAGTGTGAGGAGGCTACAGAAAAGGTGCTCACTCCCAAAGTAGCTGCAGGGAAGGGCTGGGGGGAGGGGAGGGGAGTGGAGGGGGAGAGGACCCAGCCAGCTGGGACCCGGCGTTGTGGTGGTAAAGGGTGCGGGAAGCAGGGGGGACTCCCCCCCACCCCAGCAAGTGGGGTCAGGAGAAGGTGAGGTCTGGCCAGACCCAGCCACCATCCCTCCTTTCGGGAGACGGAGGACCACAGATAACAGCTCAGAGCTCGGCCAGATCGGGCCTCTCCCGTCCCCCCTTTGCCCAAGGAAACAAAGGTCACTCCAGCAGCGCAGGACAGGGCCTGGACCTCCGGCAGTGCTGTCCTCTCGGTGGGGACGGCCTCTCCCTGCAAGATCGGGACAGCGCTGTTCAGCCCCCGTGGTCACCGAGCACTTGAACGTGGTTAGTGCGACTGAGGAATGAACTTGAACTTCACGTCCTTCTGATGGACTGAACACCCACACGCGGTCGGTGGTGGCAGACAGGGCAGTGCGATCCTCCGACTCTCCCTCCCATCTGAGAAAGCCCCCGAGGAGCCTGATGGGCTCCAGGCAAAGGCTAGAAAGAAGGGCGAACCCGGGGCAGAGGCGCCTCCAGGCCCGTCAGGAGAAGGCGCCGGGGGTACAGGCAAGACGAAGAGGCCAAACCCACTCAGCCACACAGAACGTCACTCACTCAGCCACCCGGCCCGCGTCAAACGGGAAACCCCACACCGCTTCCTGAAAAAATATATTTCATCTATTTCTCTAGAACTGAGGAAGAAAAATAATATATTACAAGAGAAAAGACAAAAAATATCCCATCATCCCCTACCTTGCATTTTGGGATCTGCTAGGAAACTGTGTTTCCACAAAAGTGACTTCTTAGAGGAAGCAGCTTCAGAAAGGGCCAAGGTCATGAGCAGGAGAGTATGAAGTATTAAAAAATGGGGGAGGGAATTAAGGGAAAAAAGGGCCCTGTCTGAAGCTATAAATAGTAAAAAAAAAATTAATAAAAATCGTATCTCCGGCTCTCCGCTCTTTTTTGAGAAACAAAAACAAAACAAAACAAAACATTAAATAGACACTTAGCAGGTGCTCTGGAAATGTGCAGAGGCCACCTCCCGGGGCTCGCTGGCGCCCGGCAGAGGCTGCATGAAGGAATGAACCATTAACAAAAAGACCTAAACATAGATTTACAAATATCCTACAAACCCTTTTTGTATCAACAGTCAGCTCTTTGCCCGCCTCCCCCCAACCCCCTCCCTTCCCAAATAAAAATGTCAGGTTTCCAAAAGTCACTTGAAAGAGCCTAGCGTGGCCCCCAGGAGACCGCAGAGACGCCTCAGCGTGGTCACAAGTGCCCTTTGATGGACATGGATCAAGGTGCAGAAGGTTCTAGGTGCTCCTCTCAGTTGCTGGGGCGACCGCGACCCAGCACCCCAGCTTCAGAGGGGCCCCGGATGTGTCATGGTGAGAAGATGCTCTGAAGCTGGAATTAGCTTCTAAGCTGGAAGGTTAAGAAAGGATCCGATCCCAGGCAGGCCTACAGACAGGCCAAGTTGCACCCCATGTTTCCGGCTGGCACAGTGGCATCCCAGAGAATCAGGAAGAGGCAGGCAGGCCCAGAAGCCGCCATCTCTTCTCACACTTGACCCGTCTGACCGTCACGAGAGCGGGAGGTGCTGACAGGTCAGTATTAGGTCGCCCTCCCTCTCCCTTGACATCCACCCTTCCAAATCCTTCCACTTCCCTCCCCCCCAGGTCCAAGCCGGTGCCCTCGAGGAAGCTTCAGGCGTAGAACTCGTTGGTGGGGGCTTTCTTGTAGATGGGCTTCTTGCCCAGGTCGTAGCTGCCTTCGTCTTTCTTCTTCATGCGGTACACCAGCAGCAGGACCAGGAAGACGGCGAAGAGGATGCCCACGACGCCACCCACGATCAGAGCTGGAGGGGCGAGAGGCGAGGGGGTGACAGCTGCTCACAGGGACCTCCCCCGCCCGCCCCCCCCCCCCCGCCCCGGCCAGACAGCCTCATGGTCACCAACGCTGGCGCCAGCAGCGGAGGCCTCACTTGACGCTTGCGACCTCATTTAGGAGAAGCCGGTCGCGCTGTAAGTCACTGACAACCCGGGGCTCAAGTGACAAAGCCACCACCCAGCAAGCAGGGACTTGAGTCCGAGATCAGGTTCTTTCCAAACACTGGGCCGACTCCCAGCAAGAGCTCAGCACGAACCGAGCCAGGAGTCGGGAGGGTGCAGCGTGGAAACCCCCCTAGACACACCTGCTCCAGCTCTCGCGGGGCACACTTGCCCACAGGGGCTTGCACTTCCACAGACAGGCACACACTACACACCCCCGGGGAAACAGGTGTGGCGCTGATGCCCACACTGCTGTGTTGCAGAAACCCCACGCTGTGGCTTCTGTTACTGCAAATACAGCCAGAGGTTAAGGCCTACGTTCCACTCCCATCTCCCCCACGTACTGGCTGTGCGATGCCAGGCAAGTTCCTTCATTTCTCTCATTGCAAAATGGGAATACTATCTTTCCCCTGCCTTTGTCCTAAGGATTAAATAAATTAATCCACTTAAAGTACTCAGCACAGTGCATGGCGAATACTTAATCATCATTCATGTAAACCTTTGTGGTTTATATCTGCATCCCTAACACCCTGAATAGGGCCTGGCACAACACACAGAGCTTAACAAATGCTGGGCTAAGCGAGGAGCACTGCCCCAGGGTCTCTCACCCGCAGGATCATCTGTTCTGCCACAGCCAGGCAGCCTGAGGGGCTCCCTCCTGTTTAGCACAGGCCACTTCTGCCTCTCGGGACGGCTGGTCCAGCTGGTTCTTGGCAGAATGGAGGCTCCTGGCCTCGGCTCAGGGCACCCACTCACCACACTGGCTCCTCTAGACTGGCCCCTGACTGTAAACGTGGCCAGAAAGGGAGTTCCCTCTGACAACACCCACCAGATGTGGGGCCGACAACCAGCTTGACAGAGCCACTCCTGGAGCCTCGCCCTGGGACGTGACTTGCCCCATTACAGGCAAGGACTGCGCCTCTCGCCAGAAGCCAAACCTATCACCTCTCTAGTCCTCAGCTTTTAACCTGTCCCACGAAGCCTGTGGGACCTGTGCGTCACTTACTGTGAAGGGGCAGTGAAGACTCCAGGGCAGATTATACTGACAAATCAGAGCAGCCCTTTACAGTCTGCAAAGTTATTTCAGATCCTATTTTTCATGGCATCATTGCTCCAAGCCAAGGAGGCCTCACTGTACCCATTTACAGAGAAGGAAACTGAGGCTCACCCAATCAATGAGGTTGGAAAGCCGTTGAGCCAAGGCCACAAGGCCGTCAAGAGCGGGGGAGGGGGCCCACTCCTAAGGAAACCCTGGGCTTCTTAACCTTTTATCATTAACTCCCCAGGTGCCAAACTCAGGCTGTAAAAGTGCTTTGAAAATATGAGAAGGACTTAAGGCAAGTGAATGACTCAACTTGTCTATTCTTAAGTAGGATTTGATATTTAAGTCTTTCCCTCCACTAGGCTGTACGCATGTGCGCAGGCACCTACACACACACACAGATTCAGAGTCACCCTCTCCCTTAGGGGGTCTGGTCCTTCAATGTCCAGGGCGCCTGGAGTGTCACTGAGAAGAAGTGGTCCCAAGGAGCCGAATGGGCCACAGCACTAGCCCCTATTGGGCCTCTTCCCCTCTCAGCTCTTCCCAGGAGCACAGGCCCTTACCTGCCAGGACCTCTGTCCTCTCAAAGATGCTGCTGCTCTGGGCGGTGCTGGACATGGACACTTTGTTGGACACATCCTCACTGTCAAAGGGTGAGATCCTCTTGGGAATGATCTCGTTCTCCTCCAGCTCCTCGGGTTCAGTGGGGATCCGCCTTCCAGGCCCTGTCCGCTCAGGGATGTGATTGTCTAGAGGCTCCTGGGTGGGAGAAGGAAGGACATTCAGTGCAGGGAGGGGAAGGACCCAGAACAGGGACAAGGACCATAGGCAGGTGGAGAATCTGGTCCTGCCATCTCCCCAGCTGAACCACACGGTCTTGGAGAAATCAGCAGCAGCCTCGCCAAGACTATGCTGTCGGGTATCCCTCCCTGGACTTTTCTACTGTATCTGCCCCACACAGGATCTGAGTGATGAGAGCCAGGGTCCAGGGACGCGGTGTCCCCGCTCACTGCTGGCCAGTGGGCATTCTGGATACTACTTTGCAGGGCAGTTTGGCAACTGCAGAAATGGCTCGCCTGTGAAGACAGCCATTTGTCCTGAGCAGCTAATCAGAGATCTGTGTAAGAGATGCTCACTGTAAGGGCCACATTTTAGAATATCAAAATACAATAACCAACTTTTCCACTAATAAGGGGAATCAGATGAACTATTAGTATACAGTGCTATACAGAGTTCACTACAACAATGAATAAGAAAAACATTTAATTACGTGGGGAAATACTCATGGCCACTTTTGAAGTGAAGCATGTTGTCTCTAGAAACCAATGTGATTTGGCATTAGTGTTGGGAAATACCAGCACAGGCACAGAAAGGGCGCTGCAAGCCCCTCTGAGTATTGACTTAGGACTCCTGCAGGGTCTTGTGGGCCCATGACCCACAGCTGGTCCCCAAACCAAAGCCCTCTTGTGGGGCGAGGACAGATTCCGTAACAGTGTTAGAGGAGCAAGGAGGGGCACAAGCAAGCGGTTACTCACCAAGGTCTGGAACTTGGGGTCCTCAAAATCATCTGCAAGGACAGAAAGACTGTGTGAATATGAGGTCAGTCACCCCCAGATGACGACCCTTCAGCCATGGTTGGGGGGAGTCCTAACTTACAACTAGTAACCTGATGCTCAAGGGCCAGCAAGTGACTGTTCCCACCACAGCTCAGCCACCACATCTGTAAAGTGGGGCCCCTGAGGCCTCCTGGTCTCCCTGTGATATGAAGCTGGGAACTGAGCTGCTCCTCAGCTCCAAACCCCCGCTAAGTCAAGGTCGGACCCAGGACCAACAGTGTCACATGGGAGCCAGTTAGAAACGCAGACTCAGGGCCTAATGCATCAGCATCTACATTTAGCAAGGCCGCCCAGGGAATTCACCGAGAGGAAGGCTTTACATGGCCATGTTAAATACTAGAAACTCCACTGTTTACTGAGAGGCTGGCATGTGCCAAGAGCTCTCACGCGGCCCAGTCTCCACTCCATGGCCTTCCTGTTTTATACGTTAGGAATCGCAGCCTTGCACGGCACAGGGTGGCAGAGTGAAGTCAGGACCAGGGCACTCCAAAGCCAGCACCCTGCACCCAGAAGGGATGCTTCTCAGCAGCCCTGCAGCCCAGCAGCCAGGGCCAGAAAGTCAGAGAAGACTGCAGAGGGACCTCCTGCGCCCAGAGGCCCCACCCCCACCCCCGAGGTCTGTTCATGGTTCCCTCCCAGACCTCTGGATCGCCAGGCGCAGGCTTCTGAGCTGCTCCTTTCTTTGCCAAAGGAACAAAAGCAGCAGGCCAGGGCTCTCTGCAGAACCCCATACGCAAGGCCAAACTCAAGCCAGCACCCAGAAAACTAGAGCCACAAAGGAAAACTCAAGCAACAAACAACGGCCCTCCGCCCCCAAGGTCTCAGGGATGGAAACTGCTGACCCACCCTCTTCTGTTTCCCTCCACTGTGGGAGGGGCCCTAGAGGAAAATCCCACAAAACTCTAGGTTCCCGCCTGGGTCACCCTCCCAGGGGAGGCCACATGTCCCCGACCTGCCCACCATGCCCTCCATACCCAGATCTCCAGAGCCAGACAGCTCAAAGTCATCAGGCTCCTGCCCAGGGACCCCGACATCCTCGTCGTCAGGTAGGGCTCCAGAGAAGTACCGGCCTTCTAGAAGGTCTTGGGGGTCGATGACCTCAGTCTCTCGGATCTAGAATTAAAAAAACACACATGAGCTAACAGTTCCCCAGGGCTCTATCATGGCCCCTGAGGCCAGAGATGCAGTGTCGCGGCCTTTGGGAAGTAAGCTGGGGTGCTGTTGGGGATCAGGCCAGAGCCCAGAGTCCTAGGTCCCAGCCCCTCCCAGCCCCTAACTTGCTGTGTGACCTTAGGCAAGTGTCTATGCCCTCCTGGGTTCATAAAACTAATACAGATGGTAATAATCCACTTATCAGTATTACTGGGTGCCATTATGAAGCGCTTGCTACATGCCATCCCTGTTCTAAGCTGCACAGACCCATCTGGGGCTCCACTTACACCCAGGGAATCTGGGCATGAGAGACATAAAACCCTTCTCCTTGGTGTCACAAGTAGCGGATGGGGAAGTGAGGATCCCGCAGAGGGTGACTTCAGAGGACACGGTCTCCCAGGGTGCCTCCTAGGAGGCAGCACAGCTGATTCACCCACGGCCGGGTAGGGCTGCTGGCTCTGGTCTTGCCCAGTTGGGACACCTTTCCCAGCTGAGTCAGACTGTGCAGAGGCAGGCAGGGCAGGCCCGCCTCACCCACGCTCCAGCGCAGCCTCGGGCCAGGGAGCGGCCCAGAACCTGCGATCCAGCCGAGTAAAAGTGCACGCTCCATGCAGCCTTCCAGACTGTTCCCACGAAGGCTTCCTGCCACCCAGCGCAGGCAGAGAGGCCGGCAGAGAGGCAGGCGTCTCCCACAGACCTCCAGTGCACCCAGGACCACAGTGCCCCCAGCCCCCCATGAGGTCCCAGCTGACCTCATGCGAGCAGCTGTCACAAGCAAAGTGTGGAAGATCCAGAGAAGCAAAAAAGCCTTTCCCAAGGTCCCACAGAGGTGCATCAGCCACTCTGCACCCCTCCGGGAGCCCAGCCAGCTGAAGATAAAGTCCCTCGGAGAGAGAAGGGGGCATCTGAATGCCCACTACCCTTCCTCTCGGCTCCACACTCAGGCTGCTGTCTGCCCACGGCACAGCAGACCTGGGCAAAGCTCACTATTAACCAATTAATTCAGATATTAATGTGTCTACTCTATGCCAGAGGGGTCAGGCCTTCAATTACATTCAGCGCACACGGCTCCCCGAGGCATTCTGATTATCACTCCCAGATCCCCTAATTCCAGGAGCCGGGGTGGCGGGGGAAGGTCCTGCTCAGAATCTCAGAACACCAGCTTGAGGCGAGGGAGGTCCTGCCCTCCCATTTCACAGAATTTGAGCCTGGAACAGGGCAATGATTGGCCCAAGGTCACACGGTGAGTTAGTTACATTGCTCCCAGTGGAAAGAGGCCAGGTCTGTTTCTGTCTGCCCCCAGGCTGTCCTTCACCTCCCTGAGATGGCCAGTGACACAGGCAGAGCCCAGAAGGTGAAAGCACTCCCAAGCCAGGTTCCTATCCCAAGCCAGGTTCCTATCCCCAGAGAGGCCGGCTTCTCCCTGTACTCACTCCACTGGCTTCCGGGCCTGAGCCGCATGCCCTCTTCCACCCCCACCAGGGCATGCGCCCGATTCCGGATTCCCGGAAGGGAGGAAGGGGTGGGCAGCCTCCCCCTCCCACTGGCGGGGAGTCTCTGCTGAAGGCCTGGCACACATGGGGGTGGGGAGCCAGCAGAGGTGAAGTCCTGGTTAAGGATGACCTCATGACTCGGGAATCAGGAGCTGGTGAGCTGCTGGTGCTGGAATTCCAGCCCCCGCACACAGCCCCACACAGCCCCGCCGTGCCTGTGGCTTTGGCCTGGCAGCTCAGGAGGAAGCTCCTCCGAGATTTCGCAAGTTGCCTACACCTTGGGCAGTCCCTGAGCTCCCACCACCAGCACTTGCCCCCCTCCCTTCCCCTGCTGCGAATTCCCCAGGGGGCTCATAATCTCAAAGAGCAGAACCTCGGAGGTTTTCTGGGTGGAAACAAGAGTTCAGAAAGGTAAAGTCATCTGCCCAAGGTCTGGACACTGACAGAGAGTGGCCACACTGGACCAGTCTCCACGTGTGGGTGAGGGAAGCTTTTAACACATCCATATAAAGACACGCTCGCGCGCTTGTGTCCAAAGGCCTGTCATCCCATCCAGGCTAGCAGGATGCTTGCTGCGGGAAGAGCAAATCTGGCCCAGGACAGGGAAGCCCCTGTGGCCGCGGGAGTCAGGGGGCTGGGGTCCTGGAGACCCTCACACTCCCCCAGGTCCTCAGCAGCCCATGGAATGTTGTTTACACACCGACTTTCCTAGTGTGTGAAAGTGCTAAGGGGTGTTTCAAAACAACCCATGGGATTCGCGCGCTGATTGGCTGAGAGCGACTACCCCCGTGTCAAATTAGCGAAGTGAAGCCGCTGAGAGGAGGCGGAGGCGGGACGACCTTGTGGCCAAAACAGCAGCAAAACCCAGGCCGAACCCAGATTTATTCTCCGCTCAGCCCTGCTTGTGGTTGCTTGGCCGCCCTTCACCCTTCATTTCTACACAGGTTACAGAAGCGGAGAAAGGGCTTGTCTGAGGGTCAACCCCTAAGGACACCTATTCTGGGGTCGGGGTCTTCAGAGGCAGCATTTGATGAGCCTCGGACTTGCTGTCATTCCAGGGGCTTGGATGCTGCTCTGTGGGCAGGGCCGAGGGGCGGGCACAGGAAGTTAAACCCTTCATCAGCCCCAGGCCCACCGCCCCAGTGGGTGGGAGCCCTTTAACACTAGCTGGCAAGACCAGAGCAATCACTCCTTTGTGTGTGGGGGGGAGGGGCCACCAACAGCCCTCCCTTCCCCCACTCTTTTCAGAAGAGGCCCATTCAGCCTTGGGTGGTTTTGAAGAACCAGGCCACCCAGCAGCCGGGCCCAGTCCTGACCAGAGAGGGTCCCCACCCAGCTCCTGGCAAAGGCTGCGGTCTGTTCTCCCCAGCTCACCCCGTCCCTGCGTGGGAACGTGTGTGCACATGTGTGTGCGTGCACAGGCACACTCCCTGGGCGCGCAGGTCTCCCTGCACCTTTGTCCTCACAGACACGTGATGCATCAGCTGAATAAGGCAGTGATCTGGGCGGCAAACACCCTGCTGGTCCTGCCGCCTGGTGGGCACCCAGGCTCAGCGCCTGGGGGCTGAGATGCCAGCCGCATCCCCAGTACTATCCATAGAAAAGAAGAGGGGATGGGCTATGTTTTGTTCTCCAGGGACTAACACCTCCCAAGAGGGGGCTCAGCCCGGCTTTCTCCTTTTATAACCCAGCAAAGAGATCAAAGGACAAGGTCACCCCTGCTGCAGCGCTGGACGGAGAACTTCGGTCTCCTGGCTCCCTGGCCGGAGCTGTCTCTCCATTCACTGCAAGAGTAATGGCCACAGGAAGGGCCTCAGCAAACCCACTGGCAGCAGCTGTCCCCCAGAGGTACTCCCCAACCAGTGCTTAGGCTACACGCATGAAATAGGAAAGGTCCCAACTTATCCCAAAGTCCTTCAGCTTGTCACCTAGGAAAAGCCTGGCACTGGGATCACTAGCAAGAGTGGATGCCACATGCATCCACTAGAATAGCTAGAAGGCAAACAGAAACTACACACCAATCCACAAGCTGTCTCTGGTGCCTGAAGGGTTAAGCCAGGTCTGGGGGTGGGGCAGGGGTTCAATGTCATCTCTGCCTATCCACAGGCTGGGTTCCTCCTTAAATGCCTCCTGAAATGCGCTCATGTCCTTGGCATAACCACCTTGGGAAGGGCTCTACCCATTTTGCAGAAAACTGAAATGCGGTTGAGGCATCTGTACAGTCACACAGCTAGAAAGCAAAAAAGCTGGGATTCAAACTTGGGTCTTTCTCAAGACCAACCAGACTTCTCACTGCCACCTACACCTCACCCCTCCATGCTAACCATCAGCCCACAACTCACACCCACAACACACACCGTCTGGCCAGAGCTCCAGGGCACCCCTTCCCTTGGCCAGGCAGTAAACAAAGGTGAAAGCGATATTGCTTAAACAAAAGAACAGAAACTTGGCTGGGGTACCAGGGAGAAGTTCAGGGTCAGGGCGGACTTTCTCCTACCTGGCTCCTCCCCAGGGGCAGGTAGGGTCAGGAGCACACGTGACTCTTCTTTTAGGCAGCTGAGACCAGAGGGCAACTAGATGAGCCAAATTAGGGAAGACAGGCCTTGAGGGTCGCCCTGGGTTCCAACTACTGAGCCCTGGCAGGAGATCCCTGGAAGGGGCCATGGACACAGGCCGTGTCCTCCCTCCTCCCCCTCCTGAAGGGTCAGCTATTCCCCAGAATGAGGCAAACCAGGGGGCGCACAATCAAGACTACACCTTGGGGGTAAGGAAGGTTCCAGGATGGGAGGAAAGCCCCAGCCAAGCGGGGTCCCGCCACTCTCTAACTACATGAGGCTGGGGGTTATCCCACGTCTTGAAGTCTTGTTCCCTTGTTTTTGTAACCAGGGCAAGTAGTGCCTCCAGGATGATGAACGTGAAGTGAAATGTTTTAGCACATGCAAGGGGCTCAGCTGTGGCCTGGTCCACAGCAGGTGCACAAGGACCAGCAGCCACTATGAACCCTTATCTGCCTTCTACCGGCTGGGCTGGGGCGATTAGTGCTCAAAAGGTCCCGAGAGACCTGGGAAGAGGTGTAGGAGCAGTTCCATTGCTAGAAAGGTGATCCGCATGGATGGGTCCATGCTTGGCTAACTGCGAAAGGACAGCAACTCTGACAGATTATTACTTTGCCCTGAGACCAGAGACTTTTCAATCATCAGCCAGGTCTCTCAGACTATGCAAGAGAAAAATATCCAGAGATGGATAGAGGCCTGCCCAAGGTCACACAACCTTGAGTACCTGTCTTTTTCCCCAAAGCAGCAGACTGCAGGCCAGAGACTACTGAAATTAACTACTTAGGGATCTGCACCCCAAGTAGCTCCTGGCCTGGGGATAAAACAGCTAGAAGGCAAACAGAAACTACACACCAATCCACAAGCTGTCTCTGGTGCCTGAAGGGTTAAACCAGGTCTGGGGGTGGGGCAGGGG